AGTAACCTCTCATACAGGTAGGTCCACCAAGGAAGGCATTTACAGACGTGGCCATACAGAGAAGACATAAATCTGCCTCAGCACCAAAGGCTTGCTCAGCCTATCAGCAAGTGCAGAAGACCTCTGTTTTTAACTCAGGTCTTCAGCTCGGTTCTGCATCTTCCTTTGTTTCTATACCAGCATTAGTGCTACTGTATTAGCCACCACAGCCTCATCTTCTGACCTTAGTGACAATTAACCACAATTGGTCTTCAGGGGTCCAGGGAAATGGCTGCATTGGGCAGGGGGAGCATCTGATGGGAGCTGCCACTGGGAGGGCAGCTTCTGCATGAGTGGGCTGTGTTGTGGGCAGTCCAGGATATGAAAAGGAGTTTGATTCCATGGCATAGACCCATTGCCATGAGGATGGGCAGCTGCTGGGATAATGCCACAGCCTGTGCTCCTCACCTGCTGGCTGTGCTGACCCACAGCTCTGGTGCCCTAGGAAGATCCACTGTGCCCAGCTGGGGTCTTTGGGCAATGGGCCCCATCCCACATCTGCTGGCATTTTTAAGACTTGGCATCAATTCAGTGCAACATCTCTCTGTATCACCCATAACCAGTACCGCTGCTGTCGTAGCTCCCACAGTAATAGACAGCCTCGTCCTCGGCTTGGACCCCAGTGATGGTTAATGTGGCTGTGGAGCCGGATCGGGAACCGGAGAATCGTGAAGGGATGTTTGAGGGTCTACCAGTGCTACCATAGATCACAGTGACAGGGGCACTGCCAGGTGACTTCTGCTGGTACCAGCCATAAGCATTGCTACTCCCGGAGCAGGTGATCGTGACAGTTTCTCCTAGGTTTGCTGACACTGAGGCCAGCTGAGGCACTGCTGCCTGCACCAGGGAACCAGGAAAGGGAGAAGAGCAAGGGGAGAAAATGGTGCTCAAGAAGCGCCTGACACACAGGCCTCCCAAGCAGCAGTGGGATGGGGAACACCACTATTAAAGGAGAAGGGACTTCAGCCATGGCCACAGGCTCATTAAAGGATGAGAACCCGGCCCAGAGCATCCCAGCACAGAGGCAGCTCCATGGAGGAGGGCTGGGGATGACAAATTGCTGTGTCTTTGCAAGGATGGGTACAATGTGGCTAAGTGGCAGAGTGATATCTCATACATCTAGGTATAGAGCATTTACAAACATGGCCACACAGAGGGGACAAATCTGCCTCAGCCCCACAGCCCTGATCAGCCCTTAAGTCAGTAAGTGCAGAAAGCCTCCATTTTGAACTCAGGTCAGTAACTGAGCTGTCCATCTCACTGTGTCACTGTTCCCTAATTTGGAACCCAGTGATAGCTAACCATGATCAGCCAGCTCCTGTAAGCCAAGAAAAAGAGCATAGTGAGCAGGGAGAGCACTGCAGTAGGAGCTAATAGTGATCATAGGGTCCTGCACAGTGGGCAGTTTTTAAGAGTGAGTTGTGGTCCATGGCATAGCCCTAACAACACTGGGATGCACAGCTGTAAGAACTGCACCATGGCTTGGGCTCCTTTCCTGGTGGCATTTGCCCACAGCTCTGGTATCCTGGGAAGGCTTGCTGCACCTTGTTGTCAGTAAAACTGCAGTAAGCCATTAAGATTTGATACAATTCCACCCCCCTGTTCTACTCTTGTGGGTCCCCACCTGGAGTACCGCATCCAGCTCTGGTACCACCAACACAAAAAGGACATAGAGCTGCTGGAGCAGGTCCAGAGGAGGACCACGAAGATGATCAGAGGACTGGAGCACCTCCCTTACAGAACAGGCTGAGAGGCCTGGGGTTTTTGAGCCTGCAGAAGACAAGGCTCCAGGGGACCTTTCAGTGGCCTTCCAGTACTTGAAGGGGACCTACAGGAAAGCTGGGGAGGGACTTTCTATAGGGACATCTAGCAACAGGACAAGGAGAAATGGCTTTAAACTGGAAGAGGGTAGATTTAGTTTAGATAATAACAAGAAAGTCTTTACAGTAAGGATAGCAAGACAATGAAACAGGTTGCCCAAAGCAGCTATGGCTGCCTTCTCACTGGAAGCATTCAAGGCCAGGCTGGATGGGGCTGTGAGCAACCTGTTCTAGGGGGAGGTGACCCTGCCTAAAGCATTGGAACTAAATAGTCTTAAAGCTCCCTTCCAGCCCAAATCACTCTGAGCAATTCTACGAAGATCACCTGCTCTGGGAGTAGCTACAACTATGGCTGGTACCAACAGAAGTCACCTGGCAGTGCCCCTGTCACTGTGATCTATAGCAGCACCAACAGACCCTCAAACATCCCTTCACGATTCTCCGGTTCCAAATCTGGCTCCACAGCCACATTAACCATCACTGGGGTCCAAGCTGAGGACGAGGCTGTCTATTACTGCGGGAGCACAGACAGCAGCTATGTTGGTACCACAGTGACACAGAGCAGTAGAAAATGATACATAACCTTTTGTACATCTGCAATGGGTAGCACTCAAGCTGATGGGAAGTAAGCAATAAAAGCAGAGCATCACAACTGTAGGCTACAGCAAATAAGAACAAGCCTAAATGCAGCAGCCACAAAAACAGATAAATAAAAATTACTTACCTTTAAAAGACCTCAAGAACACAGGGATCACCAGCAAGGTACCCATATCTCCACTGCCAACCCTTAAATGAGGTCTGGGAAGGGGTGGAGCCAGGACCCAGGTCACTCAGGTACATTGCATGCACCTGAGTTCCCCTGGGTTGGCCCTGTCTTTCTACCAGGTGCTCAATCACTGCTGCAGGCTGTGACTCAGCATTTCCACTACAACATCACAGGGAGCAGTTGTCAGTCTCTGCTGTTCCTGTGAGGATGCCCCAGGAGACCTGAAGGTCTGATTGGCAGTGAGGGTTCCCAACTCTGTCCATGGTTAACAGGCATCATATTTACAGCAGCATAAACCTGGCAGTGGTGTTATTGCTGTGATGCTGCTGTCCCTGCCACCACAGTAATAGACAGCCTCATCCTCGGCTTGGACCCCATTGATGGTTAATGTGGCCGTGGAGCCGGAGTAGGAACCGGAGAATCGTGAAGGGATGTTGGAGGGTCTGCTGCTGCTATCATAGATCACAGTGACAGGGACACTGCCAGGTGTCTTCTGTTGGTGCCAGTCTTCATAGTTGCTGTAACCCCCGGAGCAGGTGATCTTGACGGTTCCTCCCAGGTTTGCTGACACTGAGGCTGGCAGAGTCAGCGCTGCCTGAACCAGGGAACCTGGAGAGGGAGAGGAGAGAGGGGAGAAAGTGGAGCTCAGCCAGCGTCTGACACACACAGCCCTCCCCAGGCTGTGAGATGAGGCCCTGTGCCCACAGTCACATATGGGATATCAAGACACCCACACCTAAGATAATCAGAATCTGATTATCAACAGCTATGGCTGGTACCAGCAGAAGGCACCTGGCAGTGCCTCTGTCACTGTGATCTGCTATGATGATGAGGGACCCTCAAGTATCCCTTCACGATTCTCCAGTTCCACGGGCACGTTAACCATCACTGGGGTCCAAGCTAAGGACGAGGCTGTCTATTACTGTGGGAATGAAGACAGCAGCGGTACTGGTGCCACAGTGACACAGAGTAATGGAAAAGGATACACAGACCTGACATCTCAGGGAGCAGCTGGCAGCCTTTGCTGTGCCATTATTCTGGTGACACAACTCCCAGGCATGGCCCAGTGCTGTGCTGCAGGTGGCTACGCTAGGTGCCCTGCTCTGTCCTCCTGTAGAGCCTCAGGACTGTGCCCATCACTCAGGGAGGGGATGGTTCCAGCATCCCTGTCCCTGCCCTACACTGCACATAGCCCCTGGACCCCATCTCCTGCTGCCCACCCATCTTGCCTCCCTGTGTTGCTGTTGCAGTGTTGCTTCTGCCTCATGCTCGTTTCTTCCTCCTGAAGGTGGCCAAAAGCCAGGCCTTGGGCAAGCTTGGCGCATAAATACCCAACAGCCCATAAGCAGGGCAGACACGGGCTGCTGAGCCATCCCTGGCAGCCGGGGTGTGTGCACGTGCCTGGGGAGACCTGCAGGCATCGGTAGTAGTGGGGGCTTCTGGCTGTGCTTGAGCAGCACCTGCCTGGGGTAATAGCAGTACCCTGTGCATGAACAGTGCTCCAGGGCTCAGCTCTGCTCAGACCATAACCCTGGCACCAACAGAGACCTGCTCTGCTCTGTTGTCATGTTAATCTTCACAGGAGCCCAAGACAAAGCTGTTTCTTACTGCTCTGGCAGAGAAAGAGGCACTGGCCATGGCCATAGAGAGTTCTGGCAACAGGGAAATGAAAGACGGAGCTGCTGAGGTTCCAGGGCTCCTCAGGTGCCTGCTGCTGCAGCTTGGACGTGGTCATGGAGCAACAATTGTACCTGTGTGGAGGATCAGGCTGTGCTGCTATTGTAGCACATCTCCTCTGTGCCACTCACAGGGATATCACCCCTGGGACCCCAGCCCATTGGCCTCTGTGTGGGACATGGTGTTGGGACCAAGGGCTCTGTTGTTCAGGCAGACAGAGGCCTGGAGAGAGGGGAAGGCATTGAGATGGGGCTGATACCAGGGTTGTGAGCCCAGGCAAGAGAGCGGCAGAGCAAAGAGGAAGAAGTGCAGGTGCTGGGGCTGGGGAAAGCCCCAAATGGCTGGAGCTGGTGGAGCCGCTGGAGATCATCTCCTCGCACCCCGCTCCATGCTGGGGCAGCTGCTGCAGGCTGACCAGGACCTGCCCAGGCAGGTTGTGAAGGTCACCAAGGATGGAGACTTCACAGCTATCTGGGACACGTGTTCCAACGTTTGATCAGCCTTGCAGCAAAAAAGAGTGTTTTGCTCTATTGAACAGTGTTCAACAAAAATGATCAGTGGGCTGGAACACCTCTTCTACGAAGAAAGGCTACGAGAGCTGGGTCTGGAGAAGGCTCTGGGGCAACCTCCCTGCAGCCTGTCAGTGCTTAAAGTAGGCTCATGAGAAAGATGGAGAGAGACTTTATACAAGGACCTGTAGCAACATGACAAGGAGAAATGGTTTCAAACAGAAAGAGGGTAGATTTAGGTTAGCTATGAAGAAGAAATTCTTCACTCAGAGGTGATGAAGCACTGTAACAAGTTGACCAGAGAAGTATTGGATGCTTCCTTCCTGGCAGGGCCCAAGGCCAGGCTGGATGGGCTACGGACAGCCTGTTCTGGTGGGAGGTGTCCCTGCCTGGCATGGCTTGGAGCTGGGTAGGCTTTGAGGTCCCTCTTAGCCCAACCATTCTATATTCTGGTTGTTCCCTGTATTTCAGCCTTTGCCTATTGACTCTGGTGCCACCGCTGGATAATTCTACTCAGCTCTGTTTCATTCCTGCCCCAAAGCAGTAATCCCATGGATAAGTGATGCTCTGAGGCCTTCACCACAGAGCTTCCTTTCCAGTACAAGCCCTTTGTTGGCTGCACTGCTGCTGCTGAGGGTCCTGCCAGCCCCCAGGGCCTTTTCTGCTCAGGCACTACCACCTGCTAAAACCCAGCATGCCCAGGGCAGGGCATCACATGTCTTAGGGTGAAATGGGGCAGCGCTGCAGGCAGCGGTTCAAGAAACGTTTAGATGTTGTAGTGGAGGATGTGGTTTAATGGAAAATATTGGTGATAGGTGGATGGTTGGACTGGAGGATCTTAGAGGTCTTTTCTAACCTTGGTGATTCGGTGATTCTGTGATTCTATGAAGGGAGCCATGGCTTGTTCCCGCCATGCCCCGCTGGTCCGGCTCTCCCCGGCACTTTGGTACCACAGCACTTTGGGCTCACTTTGGGGCTGCTGAGCGCCTGGGTGCCGCCACGTGTCCCCGCTGCAACGCCTGGCCAACCCCGCTGTGCCACAGTGCAGGGGCTGGGCCAGGAGCGGGCAGGGAGGTGTGGGGAGAGGCGTAGGACGTGGCTGGGAGCACAGGGAGTTATTTGCATGGGGGGCGTGCTGCGGAAGGACGCGGGTATAAAAGGGCGTCGAGGTCCACAGCGCAGCCCCATCGGCGTGGGGACACACAGCTACTGGGATTGCGCCATGGCCTGGGCTCCTCTCCTCCTGGCGGTGCTCGCCCACAGCTCAGGTACTCGTTGCGCCCGGTCGGGGACTTTGGGCACGGGGCTCTGTCCCCCTGCTGCGCGGGGAGGGCTGTGCGTGTCGGGCAATCGCTGATGGCCGTTTTCTCCCCTCTCTCCTCTCCCTCTCCAGGTTCCCTGGTGCAGGCAGCGCTGACTCAGTCGGCGTCGCTGTCGAAGAACCCGGGAGACACCGTCACGATCACCTGCACCGGGGGTAGTAACAACTATTATGGCTGGTACCAGCAGAAGTCACCTGGCAGTGCCCCTGTCACTGTGATCTATCGCAACACCAACAGACCCTCAAACATCCCTTCACGATTCTCCGGTTCCATATCCGGCTCCACAGCCACATTAACCATCAATGGGGTCCAAGCCGAGGACGAGGCTGTCTATTACTGTGGGAGCTACGACAGCAGCAGTACTGCTGCACGGTGACACAAAGCAATGGGGAAATGATACAAAAACCTCCTTTTCAGTGCAAGGAGCAGCTTGTGGTTTTTACTGTCTGTCTCAGAAGTCCCACCTCAATCTCTGCCCCTTGCTGCAGGGCCCATGTTCTCTTGTGCTGCCAGGCTGTACCCTGGCCCCTGCTGGCTGCCTCCCTCCAATCCTACATCCACAATTTGCAGTGTTCCCTGCATGCACTGGGCTGGAAGCTCCTCATCTGCCCCTGCTCCTACTGAGACCACCTGCCCAGTCCCTGCTGGAGGGCCATCACTACTCAGCTGGTACATCAGCACAGCACTGGTTCTCTTACATGCATTCCTCTGAGGAAAAGAGCTGGACTTCTGAGTACCCTTGGAGTCCTCCCCTAAAATCAAACTGAAACCTCACAAAAGTCTCAGAAATACCCAGAAACTGGTATTTATCCATAGCATATGGCATCACATACTTCAGTTATATACTTTGCACAGTCAGTTTCAATGAGTCTGTGTCACTTGCACCAATCAGTTGCACCTAAGCCTTCCCAGAGAAAAACCAAACATTTGTAACAGAAAGTGCTTCCAACCACAAAATCTTTGATGCATCATTCATTTTCTAGTGACTCAGGAGATTCACCAACTCTGCCGCTTTCTATAACCACTTGCACAAACCACAACATTTGCACATTTGTCAGTTCATTTTTAAGCCAGTGCCTTGGCTCTAGCAGCTCTGGTTAGGCATCAACATCCTTTTCACATTTTCTTTTCCTCTCTTGGGGGAGATGTGGGCAGCAGGGACAGGGCAGTGGTGCAGCGATGGGATAAAGCTGGGCCCAGTGAGCTGGAAGGACAACATCAACGAGAGTAAAGCTATCAAAACAGACAGGCCTGAAGTGAAAGGGCTGCACTAAAACTGGCCGACAGGCAAGAACATTTTTTGGTGGGTGCTTGTGGCAGGTTGACATGCCTTCAGTCAAGACCTTGACCAACAGTGGCACAGCTACTGGAAATCCCTTGGAAGAGATGAGGAGAGTGCACGAACACCATCTGTGCTCTGTGATTTACAGCAAGCAGCAGGGCTCAGCCACTCATGAGGCTGGGAATGGGCCACTGCTCAGGCTGCTTCTGCATGGCCATGTATCACTGCAAGTATTTCCCTGGTGGACCTCAGGAATCAACTGATCATCCTCAGGAAGTTGCTCTGTGTTCACTTACAGTCTTGCCCAGCACCAAGTGGGTGCTTGGGCTCTTCACAGGCTTTGTTTTTTTTGGTTGGTTTTGTTGTTTTATCCAACTGTGGCTGTGGCAGTACATCCTTGGTCTGCCTAGCCACACTGAAATGTGCTCTTGCACCTTTCCCTGAAAGAAGGTTGTACGGTCTGAATGCTCTGTGCTGTTGCAAGTGTCTTCTGGTTCTCTGAAATCTGCAGTCCCTCCTGATTGCGTCCTTGGTACTGAACATCCTTATTCACTCTGTGAGAAGGCAGCTGGGGGGCTGGAGGCAGTAGTGCATGGCACCAGGATCCCCGGGGACATTTCTTGTCTGCAGCGCCTGGATGCTCTGCGTGGCTGCCATAGGGACACGCCTCCCATACCAGCCCCCAGCACCACCATCCTGTGTCCATTCCGTCACCTTCATCCTATTGTGTCCAGCCCATCATCTCCCTTCTGCTTTGTCCATCAGGACACTGCCATCCCATCACTTCTGACCCGTCCCCTCATCCTGCCACCTCCACGGGACCCAGAGCTGCTCCTGCCACGAAGTGGGAGGTTTTTGCATTGCTCCGTATCACTGTGTGGTATATTCGGGTCCGGGACCACCCTGACCGTCCTAGGTGAGTCGCTGACCTCGTCTCGGTCTTTCTTCCCCCGTTGTGAAATTGTGACATTTGGTCGATTTTTGGCGATTTGGGGATTTTTCCCAGTCTTGGCGGCAGGCTGGGGTCTGCCCCCAGCGCAGGGACGGGCGCTCAGCGCGGCAGACTGGGCTGAGTCTTGTCCCTGCCGACCAGGAGGGCTCTGGCGTGCGCCGTGGAGGACTTGGGGTTATTTTGTCAATGGAAAATTCTTAAAATTTGACCAGAAATTGTGCCTGAGGTCTGTCTCTGACACACGATTTCAGAAATGGTGTTTAGGTTGATCAGAAGACAAAGTTTTTGTCTTTGTCAAGAAATTAGTTGTGAGTTGTTAGTCCTTCCCTCTTAGTCCGAAGGACTACGACCTTTGTCCCCGGTCCGGTCTCTCACTGGGGACTTTGGTTGGCTCCAGTGCCATGGGAGCCCAAGTGTCACTGAAACAGTGTCCTTGGGGTGAAATTCAATGTTTCTGAGGTTTCAAGCACACTGTCCAGGTAAGTGCTGTCAAAAATCAAAGGTTATTCTGCTGAAAAAACTGACAGGAATATTTTGTAATTTTTTTTTATTTTTTTTTTTGTATATATATATATATATATAAAATATTATATATATATATAAAGAGAGAGAGAAAAATATATTTTTTGATTTTTTGAAAAAATTGCCTGAAAAAAACCCAATCTGATCCAAATTACCTAGGGCATAAGTCCAAAAACAAGTGCAGTTCAGCAAATCCTCAGTGGAAAGTTTTTAATGGGGCACTTCTCCCCCATTTTCTGGTGTAGATGTGAATGAAGATATAGATGTGTATATAGATAAAGATTTGGCTGTAATTTGTTGGATGAACACTCTGAGAAAGAGTAAATCTTGCCTTCCTCGTGGCAGTTTTTAATTGTACTTTTTCTGAGACAAGTCTGAACGTCTTGAGGCAGAAATAGCCTGAAAATTGAGTGCTTTTCTTTAAAACTTTAATTAAAATTTAAAAGTAGCCTTGCAGCAGGAAAGAAAGGG